CCAACGAGATGGATCAGCCAGGTGGCATCATTGATGGACTCAGGTGTGGCAGCAGTGGTGAGGTTGGCTCAGGATCGAACATTGTTTCGTTCTGCTGTGCACAGGGTCGCTATGAGTCGGTCCCGACTCGATGGCACTTGACAACAACAACAACAACAACCTCACACTGTATATGAAAATTAACTTAATGAGTCAAAGACCCAAATGTAAGAAATTATAAAATCCTTAGAGTAAGATAAAGAGTAACTCTTTGGAGCCTAGTTTTCAATGATGGATTCTTAGGTATAATATCAAAAGCATAAGCAATAAATTGGGATTCATAAAAAAAAAATTTGTCCAAGGAGTGGGAGAAAAATCTCTGGGAACCAAATACCTGATACCATCACCCATGTGTTAGGTTGTGAACTGTGATGGCTCGCATGTTGCTGTGATGCCATCCATATTTCAGATTCTAGCAGAGTCACTCTAGTGAAGCTTCCAGACTCAGACAGACTAGCTTCCTAGACTTGTCGATTGACTTCTGAATATCAGCCAGTAAAAACCCTAAAGACCACAACAGAACAGTGACTTGCTTTGGACATGTCAGGAGGGGTAGCTGAAAAAGGACCTATACACCCTCGGAAACCCTGTACAGGGTCGCTATGGGTCGGAACCGACTCGACGGCACTTAACAACAACAACAACAACAATGTTTGCTAAAGTCACGGGCCAATGAGGTTAAGGAAGCTCTTTGGTGAGTTGAATTGGCACAATATCACAACAGTGTTTTTGTTTACAAGTAGTTGTGAGGATGACACAGAACCAGGCAACATTTTGTTCTGTTGTACATAGAGTACCATGAGTTGAAGTTGACAGCATCCATCTATCCATCCATCCATCCATCCATCCATCCATCCATCCATCTTCTCATCTAGCCTTCAACCGTTTGTCTAGTCTGTTCATCTGATAAGGGCTTCATTTCATATCCAGAATTAATAAGGAACTCCTGCAACTCAGTAACAAAAAGACAGTCCAGTCACCTAATGGGCAAGGGATTTCATTTAACTGAATAAAGTGTACAAATGGCCAGTAATCACCAGAAAAGATTCTCAATGTCATAAGTCTTTAAAAAAAACAACACCACCAAAAAAACCTAACCAGTTGCTGGTGAGTCAATTCCTAATCCTAGCGACCCTATGACTGTCATCTATTTCCCAGGTTAACCATCAGAGACTCGGGGGTGGTGTCTTTCCAAAGATCAAGTCCATAAAAACCAAACCCGTTGCTTTCTAATTGATTCTGACCCACATTGACCCTGAAGGACAGAACTGCCTCCATGGGGTTTCTAAGGCTACAGTCTTTACAGAAGCAGATTTACCATGTCTTTTCGCCCATAAAATGGCTAATGGGTTTCAATGATCAACCTTTCAGTTAGCAGCCAAGTGCTCAACTACTGCACCACTCACCAGGACTCCCTAAGGTCATGCAGGGAGCCCCCAAAGTCTGCTCCACCCACCTTTTCCTCCACTCAGCAGCCAGGCTGCCTGTACCCTGCCCTTCTCTCTCCAGACTCCTCTGATACCCTGGCTGCACCCTCTCCTGCCCTCCTGTGACCCTCCCTCACAAGCAGCACAGCGCCACCACTCCAATATTGACCTAGCTCAGCCTCCTGGATAAACAGCTGGGCATCAACTGTGAGGAGTTAGTGTGTCTGGGCATGTGCTGGTGTCCACTGGATGGATCAGCTGTTCAGGCAGAGGCTCTAGGCTCAGAAGGGTGGAATTTGAGTATCTGCAGCAGCATGGGTGACCCTGGGCTGACTCCCTGAGCCTGTCTCCTAGTCCATGAAATACGCTGACTTGTGAGGATTCAATGAGATTAAATTACTCAAGACATTTCATCCCACCTGGCCACATATGCCCAATGGAAAAGCTAAAGACAGTGTGTGGTAGATGATCAGGAGAGCTGTGAGTGAGAATGAACTGACTTCGAGTGAGGTGGCCTCAAAGACTGGCTACATCTCCCCTCAGCCTCAGTTTCTACATTTGTAAGTGGGACAATCATAATAGGTACAGGTAAAGGGAATGTAGGTTTGACTTGGGTCAGCAGTTCAATCTTTTAATACTTTAAAAAACTTCAGTTTTTAAAAACTTACTCTGATTTGAGTGAAAATTTACAGAGCAAATTGAGTTTCCATTCAATAATTTCATATATACTTGATTTCATGACATTGATGCCGTTCTCAATGTAACAGCACTCTTCCCACTTCCTTCTTGTATCTTGTGGTTCCATTCATTCTTTTTTCCTACCCTTTCCTGCCTTCTGAGCTTCATCGCTGGACAAATGCGGCCCCTTTTATCTTTATGGCTATATTTCTGAAGTGTGTGTACCTCCCTAGTGTTCACCGTATTAGCCTGTCTCTTGTTTGGCTAAAAGTTCAGTTTCAGGCTTGAAGAGTGACTAAGTGACCGTAGCCTCAGGGGTTCTACCCGTCTATGTCAGACTTACTAGTCTGGTCTTTTTTGTTGTTGTTATGATTTCGCCCATTCTAACGATCTCCAGCAGCATTTCTATCACTAAGACCATATTTTCCAACTAGCAACAATTGTGAGGTTGGCCCAGGATTGGGCAGTGTTTAGTTCTGTTGTGCATAGGGTCACTGTGAGTCGGTACCGACTCGATGGCACATAACAACAGCACCTAGGACCCTTGATTGTGATCCCTTTCACAGCAGTCAGCTGTGATAGGGCAGTTCTATTGCTGAAAGTGAAAAGGACTTAAAACATTTACTGATGAAGATCAAAGAGCACAGCCTTCGGTATGGATTACATCTCAATGTAAACAAAACAAAAATCCTTACCACTGGACCAATAAACAACATTCTTTATCAAGGGAGAAAAGATTGAAGTTGCCAAAGACTTCATTCTTCTTGGATCAACTATCAACACTCACGGAAGCAGCAGTCAAAAAATCAAA